TCAAACCCACCAGCCACTCCTCGGAAGGAAGATGGGGCAATCTACTTCCGTAGTGATACTACCTCGGAAACCCAATGAGGGGTCGCTATGAGTCGGACCCGACTCGACGGCACATAACAACAACAACAAACCATAGTGCCAAGTTCATAAATGTGTTTGATAAAGATAAGTTGTTATTAATGTTAAGGAGCTCTGGTAGTACAGTGCCTAAGGCATCTGACCGCTACCCAGAAGTTGGTGGTTCAAACCCCCCAGCCACTCCATGGAAGTGATACTGGGCCATCTACTTCCATAAAGATTGACTACCTTGGAAACCCAGTCGGGGTCACCATGAGTTGAAATCGACTCAGTGGCAGTGGGTTTGGTTTATTATTAATGTTAGGAGATTGTAGTCTAAGTCAGTTGGAAAACTAAATGGACTGGGCTGATCCTCAGAGCAACAGGAGTTCAGAGATGAGAGATCAAGGGGTGAGGGATTCAGGGAAGAAGTAGCACTTGAGGGGAGCTGGCCTTTGAAGGATGGCAGTATTTAGGTTAAGCAGATGGGAAGAAGCCCCACCAGCATTCCAGATGAGGAAAAGAAGCAGGCCATCAATCGTGTCTCCCTCTTATTAAAAAGCAGCTTCACTCAAACACTCCTAGGTATCAGAGTCTCTGCTAGACCTTAGGTCACATTGCGTAACTCCTTGTCTGTGGGAGCCCTGCTCTCATCTGGAGATGATGTGACATGGAAGTGGGTGTGACACCCCGGGAGTTGGACTGACTGCCTATGCAGAAGGCATATGCTCAGGTGTCCTTGTATGAGTCTGCAGTGCAGATGTTGGGTCCAGATGCTTGCCATGAGTTTTCCCTTCCCATTATGAACTAACCTCCGCAGCCTAAAGGAGAGTTAACCTGCTTACAGCTGCAAATTCCAAGCCAATCAGCCATAGACAGTGGCAGAATTAGTTGCCTCTCCCTCTCTAGTGTGTAGTATGGACCATGACTCTTGGGACAAATGGGGATATTGATCTGGCCCCACCTATCCAGCAGCCTATCTGGCTATCCCCTGTGACCTCCCTGTTTCCAGCCACTCTTGAGTCACTTATTGTTCTCAGCATATCCTTCCCACCCCCGGGCTTTGGCATTGCATGCTCCCTTGGCCAGTAGTGTTCTTCCTCTGGCAAACTGTAACACATTCTTCAATAGCCCTCTTCTCATACAGAAGGGTTTGTCACATCTGATATCCTTTTACAGGCTCCTTAAATACAGGTACACCCTTGATTTCTGAACCTCACAAAAACATGGTAGGTACTTTGCTACCCCTGTTTTAAAGATGAGAGAAGTGAGACACAGAGAGGAGGTCAGTTAACTTACTTGGATTATTAATGCATTAATTTCTTCACTTCGCATATTTTTTTAACTTCTGCTTTGTGCAAGGCATTGAGTATGTATCTGTGGCCAAGACAGGTAAGGTCAAACAAGACAACTGCAGATTGTGATGTGTGCTGTAAAGAAAATGAGCAAGGCACTAAGGCTGAGTCACTGGGAAGGCCACTTTAGATAGCAGGGTCAGGGAAGGTCTTTCTGAGGTGGTGGCATTTGAGCTGAAACCTGAAGGATGAGAAAGACCAGCCAGCCACAGGCAGGGTGAGGAAAGGGTATTCCAAGTAGAAAGAATAGCAAGTCCTGGAGGCAGGGAAGTGACTGGTGTGTCCCAGGTTCAGAAAGGGGCCATTGTGTCTGGACTATAAGTAGATTGAGAGAATGATCTGTGGGTTAAGTTGAGGTAAGCAGGGGCTAGGTCGCGCCCATCTGGTAAGGAATTTTGAGTTTTACTGTGTGATGGGAGGTGCTTGGAGTATTTTCAACAAAGGAGTAAATCATCTTTAAAAACAACTCTCCAGTTGCCGTGGACTGCAGAGAAACAAGTGTAATTGTCTGCTTCTGAGTCTCCTTCCTCCTAGACTCAGCTTCAGTTGGTGGAGACTATAGATTTCCTGGTTCTGATACTTTGTACACTGAATGCCATGTCTGCAACCCAGCAAGTGCTCAGTAAACATATGATGAAGGAATGAACATGGCACAAGGCAGTCAGATGCAAGTCATGTAGCTTTGGGAGGTGAGTGATTGGCCCTGAGCCCTCTAGGGATAGAGCCCACTGCTCCTCCTGACACAATCTAGAGCTAACAGGCAGCACTGCCAAGGTGGGGGCAGGGCAGCAAACCACGGGTCTCATGGGGTCTGATGAGGACTAAGCAGATTGTGCTCCAGTGGCCAGCAGTTAACTTTCACAGAGTGGGGTTGTCGTCTTCACAAGAGAGAAAACCCACTAGGAGTTTGTGTGTGTGTGTGTGTGTGTGTGTGTTTAGATAATGGACTCTGCCCTTTCCAGCCTGAAACCAACAGAGTGAAAAGCAGAGATCATGTTGGGTGACCTTGCCTGGGGCCTCCTGCATATTGTGTGTGCTTGGTCCAGATACCTGCTCTCTGCCCTGGACTATGAGCTTCAGAGAACAGTGGACAGTGTGATGAATGACTTATAAGGTCATACCTTATCAGCAGGGGTGATGAGAGCAGGGAACACAAAAACTGACAGAGGCTGTATGTGGTGTGGGGCTCTCTTGGCCAACCATTGCTTTCCGGGCCACCCCTGCAAGCGAGGTAGAGTGAAGATGTGTTTGATTTTACCTCAGGGACAGTTATCCCCAGTGGTCACTGTGTTTGACCCCTTCTTAACAGTGTCTGTTATGTTAGCTCTAAGAGTGAGAGTGAGAAGCTTCTTTCCAGAGTTAATTTTATATATGAGTTCTTAAGA